GTTGAAACACACGGAGACATAGAGATACCGCCGGAAGGTGTCGTCAGCACCGCGCATTTATCTATTAGAAGGTCGAGCTACAAGCGGCCATAAGCAGGAAGACCCTGATCCCAGAGGCGGACAGAAATCAACTGAGTCCAAAGGTTCGCAGCCACGTACAGGACAGGATCACGGTCCAATGTTTGTTTGTACAAGGATCCTTTCGAGATCCTTCCCTAGGATATCAAACTGCAAGAAAGGTACTTGAAGAACGGTTCCGACATCCCTTCAGAATTGCCTCACAGTACGTGACCAAGCAAACAGAAGGTCCTCCTCTGAAGCCTTCAGATCGTACACGTCAGGATTATTACCATATACACTCGAATCTATTGGCTACCTGGATGAAATCAATAGCGCCGACAGCCTAAAAAGATTTGTTCAGAGGCTGCCGTTTCATCTCAAGGCAAAATTTGTTGAAGTAGCAGATCACATCCAGGAAGCAGGTCAAAGAACGAACATTAGTCACATTACAGAATTTGTCAAGATCAAGGCGAAAGCTGCAAATAACCCAGTGTTTGCATTGGTTGCGTGATAGATGTCGCATGAGACAGATCGGATATAGTCAAAGACGTAAGCCTAAACTTCCTAAAAGAGCTACATTGTCCAATGAGCGCAGTAACGCATTCATTACTCAAGAGACCGATTCCAGAGAAAGACAGAGTTCACCTGGTCACATAGAAGCCCCAACTACGAGATATGCAGTCTGTCCGGTATGCAGTGCAGCTCATCCCTTAGCGAAATGCAAGATTTTCATAGAGAAGGACTTCGAGGAACATCTACAAGTGATGAGGAAAGCTCAGTTATGCCATAATTGCTTCAAGTATGGCCACATTACAGTGGGATGCTTAGCAAGGAGTACATGTGAAGTCCAAGGTTGTAAGACAAGACACCATACTTTACTTCACCCTCCGCCCTCATAGCAACTAGTTGAAAACAGAACCAGAGCAGTAGAACAAGGAACCCAAGTAAGCAGTAGCACGCCGTTACCAAGTGGACAGACTGACAGTACCTCAGCAGGAGGGGAAAAAGTTTGCCTCAGGGTGGTCCCTGTGAGAGTGCGAAGTCGCGATACAAACAAGGTAGTGGAAACAGCGGTTCAGATATCTCCTTATGCGACAAGACTCTAGCGATGGAGCTTGGAGTCCGAGGGCACGAGATCAGCCTAAACGTAGAGTCACTTGATGGTACTGACAAAGTTGAAGTTTTAAAAAAGACTATGGACTATGGACTATGGACTATGGACTGTTGATAGACTGAACGCCTCAAGCCGAAGTATCCCTTCAGAGCAAGATGCAAGACAGTGGACTCACCTTGAAGACATAAAGTTACCAAGTATTAGCGAGAAAGAAGTCCGATTAATCGTAGGCACCAACGCACCAGAGCCCTTCTGGAAATTAGAAGAAAGGCGTGGTAACAGAGGAGAACCATATGTTATACGAACACCTCTCGATTGGACACTCATGGACCCAATGGGAGGCATCGATTGCCGAGAGCCCGATCTGAATGGTAACTTTGTTCGCTTAGAGGAGTTAGCGAGAAAAGATGAAGATTGTCTCATGCAGCAAGTTGAAAGGTTCTAGGCCATAGAGAATTACGGTTTGGCGGGTGACTCTACCAGGTGCATGTCAGTGGAAGACAAGAACGCCCTTGCAATCATGGAAGTATGTGTGAAACTTAATCAAGGTCGTTATCAGGTGGCGCTTCCCTGGAGACTGTACCCACTATTCTTGCCTTATAATCGGCCCATGGCAGAACGAAGGCTTCAAATACTGAAGAGAGGTGTCTGAAAGATGAAAAACTCTTTGATAATTACAAGACCACCATTGAAGAGTACATTGCTAAAGGGACACGCAAGAAAGGTACCGTTTAACGAGGTTCATTGAGACGACATGCGGCCGCTGTGGTATTTACCTCACCACTCTGTGCTAAACAAGCCTGCAAAACCAGAGTAGTCTTCGACTGTGCAGCCAAGTACGGAGGAACATCTCTTAACGATCAGCTTCTTACTGGACCGGACTTGACCAATTCTATAGTTGATGAGATTTCGTGAGGAACTAGTCGCGTTATCAGCTGACATCGAGTGCATCTTCCATCAAGTTAGAGTACCACCAGATGACCAAGACGCGTTCAGATTCCTCTGCTGGCCGGATGATGACTTGAACCAGCAACCAGTCGATTATCCTATGAAAGTTTATTTGTTTGTACCAGAATAATTTAAACAATATCGCATTCCTTTTTTACATTTTTCAAGGTCTATAGATGTAATTAGTTATCTGTAACAACACCAAAGAAAATTTCTTATGAGAGCCCGAGAAAATGAACGTCGAATTTAACAAGAATTGTAAAAACACAGGTAAAATTCTGAAAATTTCATGTGTAAGATGTCAAGTTGTGAAATTTGATATTTTTGTTTTCTCGGGCTCCCATGAGAAATAGTCTTTAGTGTTATTACAAGTAACTGATTATATCTTTAGTCCTCGAAAAATGTAAAAAAAAAAAAAGAAAAAGAATGCGAGATTGTTTAAATTATTCTCACCGACTGGTACAAGGTTTTTGTCCACTGAAAATTGAAATTACTCAGTTTCGTGATAGATTCTGTCTTAAACCTTTTCAGATTGAAATCAGTCCTTCTTCTTTTATTTTGGTCGTAACGGGATAAAAAGGTCATTGTCCGTGACTGTGCTCACATGGTGGGTGGCTCCTCCTAAAATGTTCTGCAATTGGTATAGGATTTAATGGAGCCGAAACCAATTGTGGAATTGCACGCATTTTAGGCATTCTACTGATGAACAGTTGCGACGCGTAGATATATATTTTTTAGCGACTAAGATGATTTGCAGTCTGTCTACTTTGAATTGACAGGCTCAGTAACCTCAAGATGCTCAATTCTATAACAAAAACGTGATAGAAAAATCAAACGCCGTCACTGGCAACAGTCACGTCTAGTCTAAAAAGAAGTCCAACTAATATTATTGTTTAACAGGTGTTGCTCTTCCAGATATGGAGATGGTATCTTTTGTCGTGGTCTCAGTTATTCTTACATTGAATCTCAGCGTACAAGCACAGTACTGTAAGAAAAATATCTCACACATTGCACATATTTATCTAGATTTAGTGTAACTATTAATTAACTGTGTAAGCCCAATGCGTTACTTTTGGGTCAAACTAATATCATATATTGTATAGTAGCTTTTAATAGTAGTTGGAACGTCAAGTACATCTTTGACCACATAAACCCTTACAGGTACAAGAACTCTGTTGCCTTTGGCGATCAGTTGCTCAATGTCAGTGGTCAATGAAAGCTGACCATTCAAAGCCACCCCAAGGTCGGAGGCTTAGGCACAGCCGCCGAATATGGTCAGGAAGCTCGTAGTTTTGTTGGTGTCCTCAACTAGATCTCTTCCTGGTCTTTTTTCATGCCATGATCAGTGCTTCAGTTGTGTAACCAATAGGGACTTTAAGATAGGATGACTACGGACTACGATAAAACATGTACTGCGCATGATCAGAACCACGTGACTGTGCATTTTTCCCGCCTAGTCCTGCGGCTACGGTGAGTTGTTGAGCTATTTCGCGTAGTCGCGAAGAACATTTTGAACGCATTTTGCCGTCTCGGTAATTATAGAATCTCGTCGTTTTGTAAAAAAAAGTTTTCAATTCACCTGCTTTAAGTGAGAACGAAGGAAATATGTCAGTTGTGTCTAATTTCTGCTCAGATTTACGTACGCTTTTAATATACTCGAACCATTTAAAGTTGTGACTACATTTTTATCTAAAACTATAAGTTTCGCTGTTTATAGGCAGTGTTCAGATTGACGGTCGAGAACAGAAGTCATGCAGGTAGTTTATTTTCTCTTCGTACTTTAAAAGTTTTAAAGTTTGTTCGAAATTATTAGTGTTTTTTTCTACTAGTGTAACCTTTTTTATGCGAGTTTTTATATCGCATTTGCTGAATGAAATGATATAAACATCTTTAACTGCGGAGATAATCGAAACTCGGCATTTCGATACTTCAAACTACATATACTAGTTCATCAGTAATCGGAGAATTCCATCTTCTAAACCTAAGTATTACCATTTCTGCGAAAAAATAAAAACTGTGCAGCCAAAACTTTGTTCACCAATTTCACCCGACGTTACTTCCCCAAATACGGAATAATTTGTTCGTTATTCTAAAGATAAGATCTCATGCAAAGTACTTGCATTTTTGTGAACTGAACATGAAAACAAGAAACTCAGTCTTTGCGTGTTGTTTCCCTCTCTCTTCTCTCGTAGTCTACTGTCTGTACTACAATCTTAACATTTTATTTTTGCATGACTTAAACCAGTGCTACAAACAAAGGAAAACGCTCGTCCAGCCGTAGTTCGTAGTCTGTAGTCGCCATATCTTAAAGTCCCTAGTCTAGGTCCGCCTGCGGAGAGACAACAGAACTTACAGAATCAATAGGGTAGTAGAGCTTGGTGTTGTCCTCGAACAGGGCGATGCTAGACTCGTGCGAAGTGTAGCTAGATATGTCGTTAGCATTAACCAGGATCAGCAGTGGGCCCAAAATAATGTCAAAGATAGCCTGTATTGAGATAAAATGGTAAAAAAATAACACAAAATTAACGAATTCACGAAAATATAAGGAAAAGTGAGTGACATAAAGTCCCGCTTTCAGGATCGTTTTTGTTCATTTACGAAGTTGACATAGTTCTCCACGGAATTTTGCACAAGGGTTGTTTTCAATAGTTAGTGATGAAGTTTTATCATTGTCTTGCAAGCTATGAGAAAATCGAGAGGATCGCATTGAAGAAAACGGATAACAAGTAGCCCCTTCTCCCCCCAACCCAATGAAAACTCACCCTCTTTGAGTGAAATAGAAAATAAAATATATTTAAACGATAACGAGTATTATTTGAAAAAAATATTTACGTTGAACCTCTTCTAGTACTGGAGTAGTTTGCAAGTTCCATATTTTCTTCCAGATCGAGATTATCCAGATATCATAAAACCAGAAAGTATTCAGTCTTTTTTCGCTGGTGAAAATATAAGTTTTTCCTGCGAAGTTAAAGAATGGGTCCCACCAATAACAGTCAAGTGGCTGAAGAACAACATGATTCTCAAGGAGACAAAAAGTCAACTAGATGTAGTCCGCCGTCTTGATTTTCCTGAGCTGGACTTGCATGACACTGGAAAATACACTTGCGAAGCAAGCGATCATCTCGTAATCAAGAAACACACTTTCTTCGTCAATGTTTCATGTAAGCATATACAGTGCGAATTCTATAACGGGGGCCACTTACACAAAGTTGACCAGTGGGATTACAGGAAAATAACAATTCATTCCGAGAGAGTTGGTTGTGGCCAATTAGCAGCTCGTAAACAAGGACAACAATAAAAAAAACAATCTTTCCTCTAAGCACAACATTTAAATGTTGATGTAGCAAACGTTTTTTCACGAAACCAAATCTTTCGCCAGACAATGTTTTTATTTTAGAAACTTTGCATACAACACCTTGGAGACAAATTTGTTTGACACAGGCTGTTATTTTTTCATCTACCAGCAATTTCTTCGCTACGATTGCCGTGTTTTGCAATAACATGCGACTTCGAGACAAAAATATAGCTAACGTTTGTGTTTTTCGCCTCCGTCATTCACTCTAACGGACCTTTCAGGAAACAGAGCGGCTTCAAAAGGTCATGTCTGCGGGTTGTAATTGGTTGATTTCGATCCATTATGTTTATCATTGACTACTAGCTTTCTCGGAATGTATTGTTATTTCCCTGTAATCCGCCGATTGGTCAACTTTGTCTTTGTGTCCCCGGTTGTAATAGTCACTCTGTAATAGTTTTGGTCTCATAACATGTGAAACATCGCAATTGCTACTTCACAGTCCATTGATCATTCGCTTGAATGTGAGCATTCTTACGAAGAAATATGGGGTCATAGGCGAGACAGTGGATGTCATTTCTATGGTGTTGGGACTTTGTAAATTATTATTCCTAATGATCTTCCGCTTATCATTCAAGCTCGTCCCCAGGGCGTTTTTCCCTGGCTTTGGAGGTCGGCCCCACCTTATTGCTTATCATTGTGATCACTTTGTTACCACAATTGTACTATTAATCCTAATCCTATCTTTTTAGGGTGAGTTACTTTTCTTTTTATTTAGTTATTATAGTAAATTTCAGATGTAACGCGCACTCTGATTGGTTGAAAAAGCATGTTTTATGAGAGTAGAAAACACGGAAAAAAAGCTGTCACGCCATCTGTGAATCACCCCATGCGGTGGTTTTCAAGACCAAAGGTTCGCATTTCAGGGTTAATAGTACACCGTAAAAAGACACAAATGGAAAGGAAAAGTTCAAAGGAATTCTCAGTTTTCTTTTTGTAGGCAAGAAAAGCTTTTGGTTGCGAAATCGTCCTTCGAGGAATTCAGCGATGTTTTCTTCACGGTGGTTAAGTGCGAGATTTGTGTTCCTTTATATAAGCAGAGAGAAATTTCGAAGTTAATGAAAAATGGTTAACTGCGAGATTTGTATCAGTATATACCTAGCCGAATTTTTGAAAACATACCTCAAATTGGCCCAGAATATTCGCACAGGAACCTGGCGATAGCCGGGTTTCTGGTCCCTGAGGTGAGAATAAACATAGGGGGTTTGCTGTCCTGGTTGGTTTCATTGTCAAGCTCAGTCCCCGAGCTAGCCCGCCATGGGTTGGGAAGGGGCCTCCATGTCAATCCCTAGGGGGGAGAGTGCTGCAAAGGCGTTGTACTGTCCGTTAGTCTTGCTCTGGGAGAGTCAGTGCACTCGTCATATCTGCCTTTAGTTTGTCGTGTCAAATTCTTGTAATATTTGAGGCCCATTGGCGAATGAAAGCATTCCCCTCAAGCACGTGCTAGGCTGGGGTGGGGTGGGGGAGGAAGTCAGGGGCATGATGTGGCCTCGAATTCTCTGCCTAGAACTTGCTTAAGTCTCAAGCATCCTCGGTCATGTAGAGCCTTCAAGCAGCTAGAATGTATGGCCAAGTCTAGAGTGTCTTTTTGGTGGACTTGAATGTTACTTTGCTAATCAGTAACCAAGAAGAGAGTCATCTTAAGAGAACCATGGGTAAGAGCTCAGTTTCTTGGCAATATTTGCTTTAGTTGAGTCAGTTTTTAAAAGGTGTGTGGCCTTCATAAATTCAGATAGATATATATGCACAGTATTTTTTTTTTTTAATAATTTTACTTTTTACTGAGATAAGTAATTGCAAAACTTTGTCGTCTATCTGTAGAGATTTTGATAAATGCAAATTTTGCACTTAAGTATCTCTACAGAGACAAACAAAAATTCTCAAATAAACGACTCTGTATTATACAGAGACAAATTTCGCAATAGCCTGCGTGCAGACGATAACTAAACTTTGATTAGTTAACCAGAGTTTAATTCGTCTGCGCGCAGGCTAACTTCGCAACTAATTAATTGCTAATTTTTTTACTCATTTACATATACGAGGCAAAATGTTGCAATTAGTTAATTGCCAAGTTTTACTCTAAATATATATTCACTACACTGATACAAATCTCGCAGTTAACGATTTTTCATTTACTGCGAAATCTCTCTCTGTTTATATAAAGGAACAAATCTCGCACTTAATCATTTTTCGTTAACTGCAAAATTTCTCTCTGTTAATATGAAGAAACACAAATATCGCACTTAAACAATTTTTCATTGACTGCCAAATTTCTCTCTCTTTATAATAAAAAAACTCAAATCTCGCACTTAACTATTTTTCGTTAACTGCTAAATTTCTCTCTGTTTATAATAAAAAACACAAATCTCGCACTTAAACCATTTTTCGTTAAATGCGAAATTTCTGCCTCTTTATAGTAAAAAAACACAAATCTCGCACTTAGACCATTTTTCGTTAAATGCGAAATCACTGTCTCTTTATAGTGAAAAACGCAAATCTCGCACTTAACCATTTTTCATCTTTTCGTTAACTGCGAAATTTCTGTCTCTTTATACTAAAAAACACAAATCACGCACTTAACCATTTTTCGTTAACTGCGAAAATATGGCATCACTACTGTAGAACCATCGTTTCATTACAAGAAATATATAGAGGATATTACACGGTGGTGCGAAGATATGAATTTTATTTTCGAGTGGCAATTCTTTTTGCCACGAGAAAATAAAATTAATATCTTCAAGCCGCCCTGTAATGTTCTTTTTATTATATAGACAAAGTGACATCGATGAAATAATAGATTTTTATTCGCCAAAAAGTAATTGTGACGGTTCAAATTTACAGTACAGCAATATAAGACATTGTTT